TGTACGGTACAGCAGAAATACAGAAGGAAGGACTGCATTAAAAACAAGACAAATCCAAACCTAGTGATAACTAACATCCAAATAGAATAAAAACAAAGACCCAAACAAAAGTCAAATAAAGATGCTGATTTATGCAGTGTCTTTATTTGACCTTTGGGCTTGTTTTTGTTCATTTGAATATGTATATATATATATATACAATGCTCAAAGTGGCGAGTAAAGCAGGGGTATGCATACTCCCACTTCTCTAATCTGGCATACCCCCAATTCTTGTGCATGATCATCCTGTTGCAGTGTGTGATTACAGAATGAAAAATGCTATCACCATTTTAAGCATGAGTGTACCCCTACTTCTGAATTCTCACTTCGAGCACTGTATATATATATATATACACACACATATAAAGATGTCATTTGATTCAGGTTACTAAATTTGTGTGAGGTTTGGTAGCTGAATAGATTACTTGTAGTTTACTTTTTTATTTGAGAGGGAGGGGATTGTGTTGCTAGGTTCCTGAATCAAACATATGAAATATCTTTTCAGTATTTCCTCCAAACTGATTTTTCCTGTTGTAGAATGACAGACACTGGTGGAGATGAAGAATCAACCATTGAAAAACAGATGAAGTTTGTTATTGTTGGTGATGGATCAGCAGGAAAGGCAAGCATTTTTAATGTGTCCACAGCTATTTGAAATACATTAATTTTTTAATTTGGTTGTTGATTATGTTCCTTTGTAGGTTTTCATATATTTTTCTCAGCATTCATTTCATTTCCAAGTGATAATAATAAGATGTATGGCTAATCTAGGCTATTACATTTTCTCTTACCAAACTATGTATAGAAATGCATTTCCTTTCATCCAAACCTAATGTCTAAAATACTCATCCAGTCATCTTTTAATGTTGCAGCTTCTACCAAACCCGAAGACAAACTATTCCATAGCCAAAACACCCTATTAGAAAAATGACACTACCTTAACTGGATTTATGTCTAAGTTTTTTGTACCTTAAACTTGAGTTCTCCAATATTACTGCCCACAGAAATTTTATGAAAACATTGTGTGGATTTATGTATTTCAAACCTAAAACAATCTTAAAAACCTCATTCATGTTCCCCTAGCCCTTTTATTTTCCAATAAAACTATGTGAAGATATTACAAACTATCTCCTCCAAATATGCAGTCCTCCCACCAGCCTTACATTGCCCCATAACTCCTATGTTGTTTAAGGTTTTACTATTTTCCTACATTTTGTGACCAAAAATAGCTCATTTTCCCCATACATCCATATCATTGACAATTTTCCTCCACATTCTCACAAAACAATAAATGATACTATAGTTCATGTATTTGTTTCCATTGCAATATTTCTATTGACACTAAGTTTTACGTTTTTATACTATGGGTACTTACTGTATATATATATATATATGTATACAGTGCTTATTTTGTGATGGTATGCACCGATACGGTGTACTGGCACAATTTTTTCAGAGTGATATTGACACATATCCACTCAAATAAATTAATGCTCCTATCTCAACAGACTCATTTGGCAGGAACAACAAATTCACATGACAATTCATTGGCTGATGTCACATGACCCTTCCTCCATCCTTCTGCTCCCGCCAAATGAGTCAGTCATGATGTGATAGTCGGTTTGATTGGATGTGTATTCTGTTTTTACAATACAATTTAGGGATGTTATGCAATTGTCACTAGGTGCATGTTTAAATGTGCGAGTTTTAAATTTTTAGATACAAGAGCTCACTGTCTAGTTTTTGTGAATAAGTTACTGCAACTTTGAAAATGAAAAAAAAAAGCATGAGTTTAGTTTCACCTCTCATGAATAAAAAAAGCTAGAACAAGTGAAGAAGTGACAGAAAAAATGGAATTATCAGCATCAGTTTCTGTTCCTGTTTCATTTGGTGTAAAAGAGCATACTGATGATGACTGGCCTAGCTGCTGGACTTTAGATAAACAAAAATGAATTTTGCAAGAAATATGATTGGCTATCTATTCGCAATAAGAAACTTGGTTGTACATCATGCCAAAAAATTGAAACTCTTGGAGTTGAAAAAAAGACAGAAATGAAAGTATCTAAAGAATGGGAAAACAATGAGATAACGTACTTTGGCAAACATTGACAGCAGCAGCTGATGTCTGTGAAAAAACTTTCTGATCACAAGGAAACCACAGGACATAAAGCTGTGTTAAAGTTGGTTGCAGAATCTGACCTTGGAGAATGTGTGTTTAAAGGCATTATCTCGCAAAAAGAGGTTAATGCAAAAATGTTTTGCACTGCATATAAAATGGCAAAAGAAAACCAATCATTTAATAATTTTGAATCTAAAATTTATTTGAAAGAACTAAACAAAATTAACATGGGTCATATTTTTCATTCTACTAATGCATGTATTAACGTTGTGAATCACATTAGTGATGAAATGATAAAAAATTTGGCTAAAGAAATCACCAGGTCAAATAATAAAATTTCATTGATAATCGATGAGTCAACTATCCTAAGGAAAAATGCTACCCTAATCGTGTATGTTTGAATTTGTTTTGTGGATGGTGGAATGAACTCACTGGTAAATTAATTTTTGAACTTGATCAAACTTCAAATTGTTACTGCCAAAGAAAATTTTGATTCTTTACTTGATTGTCTTCAATCTTATGGGATGACAGAAGACTACTTGAAAAATCATTTAGTTTGTGTCGCATGTGATGGTGCTGCAGTGATATTGGGGAGTAACAGTGGGGTTAAGAAACTATTGAAGGGCAAATTTCCTTCTTTAATACTATGGCACTGTGCTAATCCCAGATTAGAACTGTTGGTCAGTGATATGGTAAAAATAGTTTCAGGAATAAACAGGTTTAAAGCATTCATTGATAAGCTTTATGTCCTGTATCATACATCAATGAAATATAGCAGAGAATTGGAAACTTGTTGGAGGTTCAACTTTTAAAAATTGGCCAAATTTAAGCATGTGATGGGTGGCATCCAGTTTCCAGACAGTTTCAGCTGTGTGGGAGAACTATGAAGCTTTGGGGCAACATTTCAAAGAAGCGAAGCACGATTCTATGAGACACAAAAAAAATGTACATATGAGGATTTACAGCAAAAAATTACATCTACAGAATTTGTATTGGATCTAGGATTGATGTTTGATGTCCTTCAATAATTGTCCAAATTGAGCTTGGACTTGCAAGAGTGCAACATGGACCTGTACAGAGTGGATCAAAAGATAAAAGCTCTCGTACAAATTTTTGAGGAAAAACAAACAATCCCAGGCCCTTATTATGAAAGTGCTGTCAAAGTCACCGAAAATCTCCACTTCTTTGGAGTTTCACTTTATAAAAATGATTGCAAAAATTATCCTACAATTTAAACAGGCACGTTTTACAGAAACTTGAAAGAATCAATAAAAAAAAGGTTGCTTGATAGTGACGATGCTGATTTAGTGCAATGGGCTCGCATGCTTGATAAAAAAACAATGGCCTGAAAACATTAACGCTCATTTGACATTCTTTGAGATGGAAGTTAGAAACTTGTTGATCAGACTTCAACTACATGAAAGAGATGTGATTCATGAATTTCCTAAGTATCTGACCAAAAAGACATTTCTGGAAAAATTTCTGCATTGGAGACACGTTCTGAGTACTATTCCCATTTATTAAGGGAATGTGAACGAGGATTTTTGCAAATGAATTTGATCGTCAGCCTGGCCATAGCTTTGTTGATGGTGAAAACCATTTGGCTCTTTTGTTTGTCAGAGTTATTGGACCGCCCCTCCCAAGCGTTGACTTTATCCAACACGTCAAATCTTGGTTTGTTGAAGGACAATGCTCAGCCGTAGACACCAATAGCAAGGAACAAAGATGGAATGTTTTGTTGAACGAAAACTTGATGAAAATTTGGAATTCTCTATGAAACTCTAATTTTGGTATGTTTTAATTCTTTAAAACTCAAAGTAACAAACGGAGTCTATAAATGTTAAACATTTTGATTTTTATTATCAACTTTTTTATTAAAGGGGGAGGGGTGGGAGAGTAATTTTACAATTTATCAAGATATGAGTACTGGCACCTCCTTTTCTTTACTAAAAAGCACTATGTGTGTATATATATATATATATATATATATAGACAAAATGAAAACAACATTATAATGAGATCAAAATCCCAAATTCAGAATTATTCTTCCATTGCCAGTCCTCATTGTCATCCTCTAGTCATAATGGATAATGACTGTGGCCATAGTACCCAAGTGATTGGGGATATTCCATCTAGCAGACAAGATCCTGATGCTGATGCCAAACTTGCCAGTAAATAAGGAGAATTAGTTAACCCTGTCACCATAGGTATCCTTTACTGTGCATGACACAAGGTTTTAGTGTCTTACATTCAAAATTTTATTAAACTACTTTTAGTTTATGTTATATTAATTATAATAGCATAAAATATTAGCTAATAATCCATATTTTAATAGCATACAAGTTTTAAGTCTTAATTCTACAAGTCAATATTTAAAAAATCCTGAATTTCCACTAGTGTGACCCGCATGACACATTTTCTCTTAGCATGTCATCATTCCTATTTTATCCACCACCCCTCGAAAATACGAAATTAAGCATACATTTTACTCTCTATAGATGTGTTATTGCTCAGACAAACAATAATTTTTATAGTCTTCAATTTTGTTTGGTTACAGAGCTATCGAATAGAAAATCAGACCCCTCCTGCCACACCCACCTGTCACATCCTCTCTTACGTTTCATTATATGTTACCTATAACCAATAGAAAGTCAAGGTTTTCATCTATCAAATGAGGTATTGTTTTAGGTTATGTTCTGAACAGTTGGATGTCAATTTCACTCAGAGTACCATGGGAAAGTTAACGACTAGCTTGGATGAATTTGTAACGTCTCTTGTCGCATAGTTAGAAAGTCAGAATAATTTTGAGAAGTAAGGGAATTTGTCTACTTTTTGCATATTATTAGTCTATATTATTTGGTTCAGTATTTAATTAATTCAAAATTATTAATTGCATCACCATAATTAATATAAAAAATCAAGCTTAACTCTCCTTGACAAGAGAGCAAAAAAATAGAAGATTGGGTAAATACTTTATTTCCTGTTTTTCATATTTATTCTTTGTTGATTATTATAAAAGTAACTAAAATATAAAAATATGGATCTTTTTAAGCTATTTAAGACTAGATTAGGTAAAATAAGTAATAGTAATAATATAATTAAAATGGTTCACAAGGCACACACGTTAGCAGCTTGTAGTAGCTAGTGGGTAATGTAATTCGATAGCATAATGTGACCTGCATGTTCTCTGAGTGATTTACAACTTATAATGGCATGGATAGTAGTTAGACATGGTTCAAAGGGCAATAAAACAATAAAATTTAATTATAAATAGATGTATAATGTTACGAATTTTGACCTACTTTGGATAAACAAATGTAGTTTCATGTTACAATTTGAAGTCATTCTAGAAAGAAAAAAATGGTAATTTAGGTTTATTTAGATTTCTTTTTGGTGGTTATGAGGTCAGTCAAATTGACCAATCCCAGTTTGAGATATGGTAGAGAAAATAACAGATAAACTATTAAATTTTACTGAAAAAGAATGTTTGAAATGCATTTAGG